TGTCTCGAATATGCAATAGTTTCTCAGTTTTAAGTATATTTAAATATAATTCAGGCTAATAATTAATAATTAATTTATTACTTCTCAATAATTTCTATCCAGTGATATCATACCGACGAGTTCAAAAAGAAAGCGACAAATTTTATTGTGTACGGTTTGGTCACTCGTTATGGTCCGCAGTTGCCAGCGCAAGTGGTTAAATACGATTCATACAACGTACCATCTGACCAATATTTATGTGAAATATTTTCAAAGTATCTTCGAATTGCGAAATATTTGAAAATGGTCGCTCTTTTTCACGTTAAAATTGAAACAATAGTTGAGGGCCGCACATATTTTTCATCAGTTCAACATAACCTACATTATTTATGAGAATTTTGTTACAACTTTTATACATTGATTAGAAAAATATATTTATGTTAATATATATAATATAATATATTAATATATTCGTATGATTAATATGATAATATATTAATATAACAAGTATGAAAATTATTTAACGGGAACACTGAGCTTGTTTTCTTAGATACTAGTTCATCAATATCTGGTTTGATACAGATAGAAGGGAATACGAAGAGTATTTTCGAGTATGCTCGTCTGACAATTTCTGTTCCTGTTTTATTTTTTTCGTGTGCTTCGTATGGAGGAAAAAAATCTGCTCGAAAATATAAGATGGTCACTGAAAGACTGAATGATATAAAACAAAAATAACTTTTACAAACACGTGCTTTTTAAATTTTTTATTATTTTATTTGGAAATATAATTAATGGATTTTTTTCAGTATTTTCTTCTATAACCTACAAAAAAAGAAAATAAAAATGACTGAAAATGAACGAGTTATGACTTTTTCAAACTCTTCAGTTTTTCAGTGACCACCCTGTATAAGTATTCCCAAATACGAATAGCTTGTACCTTTCAACAAGTACGGTAACGATAATATCAACGTAAATTTGGCGTCGAGAATGACAGAGACAATCAGTCGGTAAAAGCAGGCAAAAGCAAGACCGCGGTTTTCCCGCTTGGGAATACATAACGAATGGCGCGGAAACTTCACTGAATTTTAATCGGCCCTATGAGAAAAATAACATCCGACCGATGTTAGCGAAAAACTGCCTTGTCCTACAATCGGCGCATTCACTACCGATGAAAGGACTATTCACTCGATTCCTCGGCAAAGCAAAACATTTCGCGGCGTGCACGCGAACAAGAATACGTGCTTACTTAGTGTCCAGTTTCAAATCCCCCCTAACCTAACGTTCGCGTTGCACGCGTGAAAAACGAACAAATCCCGTTTTTACCGGCTTTGATGAATTGGCCGGTATCGTCGGTAACTAATATCGAGCGTCTTGGGAATCCTGTTCGCTGCGCTTGCAAATCATCAATCGAGCGTCTGTCCCTGGCAAGGGCAATTTCGCATAAATGTCACCGGACGTGTACTTCATTTGCTAGGTAATCTCAACAATTTCGTGTCACGTACAAATACTTAATTTAAATTCGCTGGACCGTTATTAAATACAGATCTATCCTTGCGATGTAAATCTTTCTGAAATGAATGCGTTTGTAACCTTTAGCACGTTGTGCTAATTTCCATTTTGAAGACTGCTTACCGACTGGACGTTTCGCTTTTAACATCGACGGCCACGAGAAAAGTACAAAGTAATACATTACGTTCGAGAATGATTTTTTTTCGATCGATCGAATTATAAAAGATGATAGTTTTCAATATCAATTTGTTTCTATCGCGTATTATACCAGGCCGTCAAGATTAGGTACACGTGTACGTGCAAAGAACCATCACAGAGGATCATAAATTTTCACGAGAGTAATGGTTTTTCAAACCGATCGATACTATCGGATCGGTTGTATCGTCATAGAAAAATATATATACTCGCCTGCAACCGTGCACGGCATATTCACGATTAATGATGTAGCAACGAGGTACGTATTATACATACGTAGATGCAACGTTTAACCTCAACAACGATGAAATATGAATCGTGATAGCAGACGTACACCCGTATATACAAAGAGGTATTAATAATGGCGGCCATGTTGCAAGAAAAACTGTTTAGTTTTCCCAAGATAAAAATCACGCGCGTACATATATGCTCATAAATTATTCATTTTGAAAATAAATAAGTTAATTCGATGAAAAAAAAAAAAAAAGAAAAGAGAAAATTACAAAGCACAACAAAACAATACATGTTTGAAACGTCAAAATTATGCTTAACGCTCGTACATGCTTAACAAGAACATGTGTAATTGTTTGCCGTCGTTAGCCTTTAATTAACCTAACCTCAAAGTTAATGATTTAATTCTACATTACGCCGCGGATTCTATATTACTTGCTTTTCATTATTTCCTTAAGAACCTTAAGCGAGCGAGAGCGGGTATCAGTTTCAGGAACGATGATTAATTACTACGCCTATTAATAATCCTGTCGAGACGCCGATAATCAAAAGCATTTTATTTCCTCTAGCTCGACACGCGGACATGATGCTTGCTTCTTCTTTTTTTCTTTTTTTCTACGCCATTGCCGTGCAACAGAACTGGGCGAAGTTTATTTCGAAATAAATAATTGTTCACAAAAATTATTACAAATTATTCGAAATTATTATTTCGGAATAAATAATTGTTCACAAAATTTACTACAAATTATTCGAAATTATTATTTCGGAATAAATAATTGTTCACAAACTTTATTACAAATTATTCGAAATTATTATTTATATTTAATAATAATTGATAAAAAATTATTTAATAATAATAATATTTAATATTTATAAAATTAATAATGATTAATAAAAAAATTATTTAATAATAATAACAACATTTAACATCTATAAAATGAATAATAATTAATAAAAAATTATTTAATGATAATAATATTTTATAATAATAATATTTAATATTTATAAAATTAATAACAATTATAAAAAAAACTATTAAGTAAATAATAATTTTGAATAATTTGCAAATAAATTTATGAAACACTCTACATCAACTAATTTCGTTACTTTACAAATATGATATATATTGTCTCTGAAATAACTTGAAAAAGTGATCAAAAAATTTTCCAAAACGCTCAGGTTCGCCGAATAACATGTCATCACTTTCGGCACATTTTTTTTTTTTATTCTTCTTTTCTTTCCAAGGCGTTGATTATAAGCTGACAGCCGCCGTCCGAATAACTCTAGCTCGCTTCATCGACTTTTATTCGGAACCAGTTCTCTAACACATACACACACACACACACACACTCGCCGCGTTTCTAATTTGCGTGAAATCGCGGTTAGAAGAAAGGTTAGACTTTTAGTACGATGCTCGGTGACGAATCTATTGAAAGGCCAGCTTCTCAAAGAGGGATTTAGCGCTCGTTCGTTTGCAAATTGCGAATAGACGAATCTCGATCTCGCGGGGCGATAAGCCTAAGCCTCGATTGCCTCTCTCGACGGAATCTTTCGTCGCGTCCAACGTTGGAATCTCGTTGGAAAATCATGCGACAAAGAGAGTGACAGGCTCGTGGCTGATTCGCGAACAAAGTCGCGAGGTAATACGACGTGGGGTCGATCACATTTAATAAATGTTTCCCCTCGAAGTTTACTAACGTCTTTCGTATCTGTTTGCAAATTGCGCTACGACAATTGGCGCCGACTTACCGCTCGTAACCGAGCGAAAGTCGAGTCGCGTTCTCGCGCGTTTATAAATTAGCTTCCTCTTTTTCAAACACGATTTATAAACTCGATGTTGCGTCGCGTGACATAACCATGTTACTTACTCATACGTACATGGATGTATTGTACAGGACGTACAACATGTTGTCGCGATGCTGTACAAGGTGGGCCGGAATTCGTAGCACAACCGAGCAGGGTTTCGAAAGATAAGAAAAGAAATTCGGCACGAAATTTTTTTGTATCTCTTTTGTGACTCGGCTTTTCGAGAAAATCGACTTTGAAGTTTGTATTGCAATATGTATGTATTGCGTATGTAAAGTGTTGCAACAGAAAGTAGTAATAAGGGATAAAAAATTATATAATAATATTTAACATTTATAAAATTAATAATAATTAATAAAAAATTATTTAATGATAATAATATTCAGTAATAATAATAGTGATTTAATAATAATAATAATATTTAATATTTATAAAATTAATAATGATTAATAAAAAAATTATTCAATAATAATAATATTTAACATTTATAAAATTAATAAAAATTAATAAAAAATTATTTGATGATAATAATATTCAGTAATAATAATAGTGATTTAATAATAATAATAATATTTAATATTTATAAAATTAATAATGATTAATAAAAAAATTATTCAATAATAATAATATTTAACATTTATAAAATTAATAAAAATTAATAAAAAATTATTTGATGATAATAATATTCAGTAATAATAATAGTGATTTAATAATAATAATAATATTTAATATTTATAAAATTAATAATGATTAATAAAAAAATTATTCAATAACAATAATATTTAACATTTATAAAATTAATAATAATTAATAAAAAATTATTTTATGATAATAATATTTAGTAATAATAACAGCAATTTAATAATAATAATAATATTTAATATTTATGAAATTAATAACAATTAATGAAAAATTATTTAATAATAATAATAATAGATAGAGGTGAACAAACTTTAAAGTCGATCTTTTCGAAAACCGAGCCGCCAGATAAAAAAATGTTACACCAAGTTTTTTTCTTTTTTTTTTTTTTCGACGTAAAACCGCCGCCTGCTCGGTTGTTCTATCGCGAATTCCGGCCCACCCTGTATATGAGAATTTTCTGAAACGACGTTGAAGGGGGAGGCCAATAAAGCTTTTCCCCCCCCGAAGCGCTAACGACTAGGTATCACTTAATAGGCGGTGTATTCCCTGTTTTTCGTCCGGGGCTATTGAAACGTGATTGTAGGCAATGTCCGCCGGCTAATGAACTAACGTTATTTCATTTTTCCCTCTGTTTCCAGGCATCAGCGGGGAATGTTAACACGGTGTAAGAAGAAGAGGAGGAAGAAGCAGCCATTCGGGAAAATTTACTTCTAACGCGGAACGCACGAACCGGCACCATTGCTCGTGAGTAATAAGAAAACTTGATAAGTAGCAAAAAACTTTTCGATTAATACTTCGTCGCCGGAAGAATTTGAAAGATTTTAAACGTAACAGCGAGTCATAGTCCACCTGTCAACAGTTCAATTTCGAACGATGACCGCTCTCATTTCATTTGTTTCTCACATTTTTTTTTTTTGGCATTACAGGCCAATAAAAGTTTAAAACTTTATAACACAGAAATATCTCCTGTGGCGAGCGTTGAAATTATTTCACGAGCCACTGTATACGTACAGCGGACAAAATAAGGTGGATAAGACACCTTGCAAAATTACTGGTTTTCTATGAATTTAACGAATATTTCAAGAAATTCTTAATTCAATGCAATTTCATTTGGACAAAATGATAAGACACTGAGAAAGGAAACAAAAGTAGTCTTCATAATTAAATCTTTCGAATCTTTTTTTTTTTAATGTTGATCCTCCTTTATTTCGTAGAACTTTGATCGTTCGATTTGGTTGGCCTTTGAATCATTTTCTTTTACATAATATCGATCTAAACTCTTTCAAGCACACGAAATTGCTTCTTTTAACATTTGAACATTATTGCATTGCTTTTTACCTTCAGAAATTATCCCGCCAAGTTCTCCTCGCACATTTTCGATAACATTAAGATCCGGAGATCTTGCTGGCCAATCTAAAGTTGATATATTTCTAGCGTTAAGAACGTCTTTTATAATTTCAGCTGTAATATAATTTTGTCTCTCTCTCTCTCTCTCTCTCTCTTTGTGAGAGACTAGCACTAGTGTCTTATAATTTCGTCCCACTCAAATTTCAAAATATACCATACGCAGAGACGATTTGACGCTTTTTCATTGTTCATGTCGCGAATGCGTTCTGAGAATGCATTTCTCACAAGCATTTTTCTTCTTGTTTCTGTACGTATACTTAAACATACTATATTATTGGATATCAGGTGAGGTGTCTTATACTTTTGTCCCAAATTAGTTGTCACATTTGCATACTTCTGGTCCGATTGTTGATACGGTTCGTTTTATTTGATGTCTAAATATTTGGCAAAGATAGTAGGTTACTATGTATATTAACCAACTTAAAACAGTCATTCGATCGTCATTTATTTATCAAAGTAGGCGGATGCCAGAGCAGTGCAATAATTTGACATTTTCAAAAGTACACCAGTTGCAATTTTAAACGTGTGCGTGAAGTTGAAACGATAGTCGATAATTTGAAAGTTAAAGTCGCTCAGAGATTCACTTACAAGGGAACATATCGAAGTGTCAATCGCCGATTTTGATGAAATTTCGCAAAATGGTATACACCATTAAATTCGTCGTTAAAAAACACCAATTTCATCAATTTACAGAAAAACTGTACCTTCTGTAGTTTCTGAGATATTCAACAAAATATACTCCGGACCCCAAACTTTGAGGTTAGTTTCCACCCCTTCGACATCGACGATTGCCGATAAAAAAGAAAAAAAATCGTGTTAAATATTTCTTCGAAAACTACATTTATGCGTTGACGCTTTTTGTTTCGTGCATTTTTCTTCTCGTTTCTCTATAATATACTCAAAGATACATTAGCTGAAAATCAGCTGAAGTGTCATATATTTTTGTCCACGCGCATACATACGCGCACGGACATTGGTTAACCACTTGCGCTGGCAACCGATTGCGGACCTTAACGAGTGACCAAACCGTGTACAATAATTCGTCGCTTTCTTTTTTAAACTCGTCGGTACGATATCACTGGATAGATGTGATTGAGAACTAATAAATTTATTATTTGTTTTAACTTTCTTTACAAAATTACATTAGTTTCTATTAAACTAAACAAAATTACATTAGTTTCTATTAAACTAAACAAAATTACATTAGTTTATAAAAACTTTTAACCACCTGCGCTGACAAACTGATTGCGGACCGTAACGAGTGACCAAACTGTGTACAATAATTCGTCGCTTTAGTTTTTAAACTCGTCGGTACGATATCACTGGATAGAAATTATTGAGAAGTAATAAACTTATTATTTGTTTTAACTTTCTTTACAAAATTAGATTAGTTTCTATTAAACTAAACAAAATTACATTATTTTCTATTAAATTAAACAAAATTACATTAGTTTCTATTAAACTAAACAAAATTACATTAGTTTCTATTAAACTAAACAAAATTACATTAGTTTCTATTGAACTGAACAAAATTACATTAGTTTAGAATAACTTTTAACCACTTGCCCTGACAAACCGATTGCGGACCGTAACGAGTGACCGAACCGTGTACAATAATTCGTCGCTTTCTTTTATTAAACTCGTCGGTACGATATCGCTGGATAGAAATGATTGAGAACTAATAAATTTATTATTTGTTTTGCCTATTTTGTTTGACTACAGTGTAATCGATCGATCCGATTCGCAAGAGTACTCGATCAATAAAATTGGCAGCTCGCCGGTGATAATAAATTTACACGAACTCGTTTGCACGGTGGTTTTATATCCGTTCGAAACGGGTCGAAACGTATCGTAGAAGTGGACAATTTCTGTTTGAAGAAATCGGGATTGCTATTGCTTCTTCGTATTTGAACGAACCGAACTGAATTGGCTAAGCCTGTGATATTATTCCGCGAGATAACACGAGGTATCGCTCCCGTTCGGATATTAATTCTGTATTAATACCCGATTGATCGAGTACTTGGCTAAAGCTTGGAAATTATTATGTCAGATAACACGAGCGTTCGGTCGCTGTCATTTCTCCCCCCCTCTCCTCATCGGTTATGTGACTGCTGGCTGCTTCAATCAATGAGAACGCGCAACTATCGCGTGTGTGTCACAAGAAACGATCAATGAAATAACTTGGCATGCTTTGAAATGCTTGCCCGATTAAGTGAAACTGCGAGCTCTTCTTGAGTAAAGTCGTCTTATTGTTTCCTGGAAACGTAATAGGACAGATGGATAACATTCCACGCGCCTTAAATTCTATCTACGGTACGTGTAAGATCGTCTTCGATACTTGCGGCGGTATAACGAGCATCTTATCGGTGACAAGTCGGCTTTGATCAACTTTGGAATTTGATCAACTTTGCAAGGAATTCGCTCGACTTGTTTCTCAATTTTTTAAGAATAACTTACCAGAATGATGTTGTCGCCTTTATTAAAATATGTTACAAAATATATTTTATGAGATATTATATATATTATAAAATATATTTTACGATATGTATTATATTGTAAATATCTCGTAAAATATATTTTACAATATATATATATATATATATATTTACAATATAATAATTTTCATTGGTGAAGGAAGCCAATTTTGGTCAACTCTGTGAAGAATTCTCTCAACTTGCTTCTCAATTTGTTAGAAACAATTTATCAGAAGAATAATAATGTATATAATATAATATATATATTATATATATTATTATTATATATATTATATAATATATATATTATAAAATATATTTTACGAGATATTTACAATATAATAATTTTCATTGGTGAAGAAAGTCAATTTTGGTCAACTCTGTGAAGAATTTTCTCAACTTGCTTCTCAATTTGTTAGGAACAACTTATCAGAAGAAAGTTATCATCTTTACTATCTTTAAATATTTATAGAACTGAACATTTCATAAATAATGATATTTCATAAATTGCGAGAATTTATGAGAAATTTAGAGAGAATTTGTAACAAATACAAATAATTTTATAAATACCATTGGTGCTTGCCCGTATTATAGTATTTATAAATTCACAAATTTATAAATACTATTTTATATAATTAATTATTTTCCTTGACATTTATAAAATTAAATATTTCACAAACAATGATGTTTTATAAATTCTGAGAATGAATTTATAAAAATCCATCAACTTATACAAATAAATAATTTTATAAACTTTATAAATACTATTGGTGCTGTTTACAAATTTATAAATACCATTGGTACTGTTTTATAAAATTAATTATTGTACTATTTTATTTATTAATTATTTATTAAAATTAATTATTGTACTGTTTTATTTATTAATTATTTATTAAAATTAATTATTGTACTATTTTATTAATTAATCATTGTCTTTGACATTTATAAAATTACACTATTTCACAAACAATGATATTTTACAGATTTTGAGAATTTGTAAAACGTCTAGAAAAGAATTCATATAAGAGGTCCAGAAAGAATTTATGTATAAGGGATAATATTCATAAAATCCTTTAACACGTTTATAAGAATTTCGCATTTCATCAGATTTTATACATGCAGGCAAGTTAAAAAAAAAAAAATAAATAAAAATGAAAAAAAAAGGAGAAGTGAAGAATGAAGTAGGGAACGAAGAAGAATGTCGAGTTCTCGGTAATGGCAATATTATTCCTTTGTCTTTCACGGACTACGTAGGGTCGTAGAGCGGCGAGTTCTCGATTTGGGACACCGCAAACGTGATTATATTAACGAGAGGCCGCGAGTTTCGCAAACTGTTCGCGGAACTCTACGCGCTACGTGTCACGGCAATGGGATTGGAAATATATAAAAGGCTGAATAGACGATGTTAATTCGTATTCAACCCCGACAGATCCGTTCTTTACGATTTGGTTCGTTCGGTCAAAGCGGATTAATTAGTCGATCGTGTATACAGCTGTTGATCGTCATTGGGCAATCGTCGATTAATAGTGTCTAACAAAAATCTTGAATGACGAACGAATTAATTTAAACAGCGTCTCACGTACAGGGTGTTCCATTTTTTTTTTAATCTATAAATGCAATCTTTCCAGGATTTTGTCATTTGAAGAGTGTCTCGAATTTTTTTCTTCAGGTATTTAGTTTCTTTTCCAAGCATGATTGTCTAATTTTTTTCGTTTCGATCGTTCTATACAGAAAAAGAGTGTCAATTTATCTGAAACCTATCTACGTTTAGTTTATATATTTCTTATAAAATCGGTGCATAAATGAGGAGAGCAGTATGAATACGAAAATACTAATAGTCTTTCGATACACTTAGGTTAATAT